GGGGCCCCAAATGCAGCCAGCGCCACTGGGGGCAGGACTCCGACACACGCGGACAGAGCAGTGCCCCGTCGGTTCGTTTGTGCTTGCGACGTTGCTGCTGCCGCTCGCGGCCGCCGTTGCCTCCGCCGCTTGCTGATTCCGGGGGCACCCGCACACCCGCACACCTCCTCGCAGGGACGACGCATACCGTGCGTGAGTGCCTTCTTTTTTCGTGGGAGCCCATGTGGGCCAACGTCCCTCTCCCGTGCTCGAAGGGGTGTTTTTGATTTTTGCTTTTCTCTCCTTCCCCGCTGCTCGCTTGCCACGCACACAGCCACGAGCGACGAGCTTCCGCTCCTCCTTGCGGCTGCCGCCCACACACGCCGTGCCGGCCTCGTGGTTGTGCGTCGCACGGAATGCCAAAAAGAGGCACGAGGCCGGGCCACAGTGAAGCGCAAATGCGGTGCGTGCGTGTGCGGGCTTGAGTGGTTTGCTGGGCAGTCTTTTTTGTTTTCGTTTTTCCCTCTTGTGCGGGTGACGGGGATATACGCAGTCCCCTCGTGCTTCCGGACTCGTGAAATAAGAGGCGCCTGCCGGAGTAATTTTGCTTTGTCTTTTTGCTTGCTTGCCGTTCCCCCTGAGTCCTGCTGGAATTCCGTCTTTTTGTTTTGGCATTATTATTGTCTCTTTTATGTTTGTTCTTGGGGCAATGCACTGCGGCTCCCTTTGAGTTTGCGCCGTGCCCGCCGCCGTCGCTGCGCCGCTGACGTTCCCCTGCGGCGCGCCCCGTTGTTTGTTGCCGCGTGGAAGCCGAAGTCGCCGCGGGGGTTTTTGCTACTGGCGGCGGTCGCCGCGTTTGCGGCCCACTCGCCCTCTTTTTTCCGTGCGCGTTCGCGGTGCTGGCGGCGCCCACTGTTTCCCCCGTTTTCTCTTTGCTGCCTTTTCTTCCTCGCTCGCACGCAGAAGGAAAGAGGCCAAGCGCTGCTAGCCGCTGTGCGCTTTGAAGGCTCTGCAGTCGCCACAAGCCACACACACACACACAAAAACACACACACTCAACCGTCGCTGCCTGTCCGGGCCCACCACGAGGAGGGAGGAGAGAGAGAGGGAGCGGCCCAACATGCCCCGGCACCCGTTTTCGCTGCGGCGCTGCTCCTCCTCTGCGTGCTGCT